AGGGGAGAGGGGGGGGGGGGGGGGGGGGGGGGGGGGGGTAACCGACCAGGACGTCGCATGGTCGCGCCACGAACAATCACAGAATAACATGGTAATCTTAGGGAGGAGAAAAAAAAATTCCTGTCAAGACAAATGGCTCATTGTGGCAATGCCGACAGTGGCTGGCTCCCCTCACTCCTTCCATAAATTTTGATTGACGTGGATTTCTTCATCTTGTTTCCTTCCCACCTACAGTATTTCTCTCTCTCGCTCTCTCTCTCTTTTCTCTCTCTCTCTCTCGTTGGCTCTTTTCCAATGTCTCTTGCCTACAATATCGTAGTGGTGAGAACTGCACATTGCACAACTCGTTCGATTTGACGGAGAGAGCCAAACGGGGGAAAAAAAAAAAAAAAATCGAACAGGATCAAAGTTCGCTGACACCCAGCAACAATCAGGTGCTTCGTGAGAAGAAAAAAAAAATGTCTGGCCTCGCTCCACGGACGGAAGAATGAAGCTTCTAGAAACTTTTTTTCAGGACAGGGAGAATCGTACCCCTGTGATTGTCTGGGGGTTCAGGAGAGATCTGGTTGCAAGACAAGACCAATCATTTGTCTTGATAATCTGGGCTGAGAGCAGGCAAACAGAGGATGCCAGGACGAGCAACCCCTCCATCAAGACCTGATCTATTCCCCGACACAATTTAGTGTATTCATGAGGTTACGCAAATGTGGAGGCAGCAAAATTACCGTAATCAATTGAAACAGCAAGTGCGCATCTATGGCTCTGATTATTTGAAGATCTATCAGCCTGATGTCTATGTAACGAGGAGAGGGGGGCACTGAATAACTGCCGAGTTCCTCTGAGAAGTCCATGATCATTGGGCAAAGGGAGTTTGGTCAGTGATAACAGGGTTTCTTGGTCTGGAGACGCAGGTATTTCCAACTAACATTAGATCGCTGGCCGTGTCCTGCCGAAGGGTGCTGTTTTGAAACCAAAACCCACACTGTCCATACGAGCCGGTGCCGATTTGCGCACTATCTGTGTCCTTTTTTTTTTTTCACCTGACAAAGGGGGTAAAAATAAAAGTCACACGGGAAGAGGATAAACGAAGAATGGAGGTCAGATACAACCAAGATGCCGACGGGATGGTGCTGAAGAATGGACTTAAGGAGGGGAAGGACAACAAGGAGACCCAGGGAAGCTTGTCCAAAAGCTTCCTCAAGGAGCAGCAGGGCTCCTTTTCCCCCTCTGGGACTCTGGACAACTGCGAGAAGAACAGAGGAAACGCAGGAGACCCGGACTATTGCAGACGGATACTTGTCAGAGGTACGGCGTCTTTGTTTTTGTTTTTGTTTTTTTGTTTTTTTTTATATACAGCTTTAGCTTCTGCTATCAGGAGCTATGTCACTAATTCTTAATTTTCATGATTTTTCACATTGAGCTAAGTTTCACCGTAAAGAAAAAAAAAAGATATATTTCCTTAAAAAATATATATAAAATACATTCGTTAGCAAATATACTCCAAGAATTTTTTTTTTACGTAATAGAGAAAGCTAAACCTACAAAAATATTTTTAAGAACCATCACCACGTGTTTTGTATTAGTCTGATGAGTAATTGAGTTTTTTTTTCTGTCACTGTCTACGAAGAGTCTAGATTTAATATTCGCATAAAAATAATTGAAAGCATATTTAAATTGGAATTTCAAAGAACAGAGTTGATTCAAATTTTTTTGGATCATTTAAAACGTTACATTAATGTATCTTATATCTAATAAAACTTCTATCTAAAAATAAAAGAATTATATATTTTATATATATTTATGTATTTGTTTATAAATATTTATATTTATAATACTTTTTCAACAGAACTATCAGTGTCATAATCATGTACTTTCGAGAGTTTTGATCAAACACTATCAATAAGATTAGAAAAAAAAACACTGTTTAAAAAAATGATTAAAAAAAGCTTTCCTAGTTGCTATGTTTATTTTCTTGCGAAAACATTCATCCGAATGTATTTATGTATTTTAAAAATGTCCGGAACTTCAAATTGACAATATGTGGAAAACCTCCACACACTCCTCATGGTAGCTCGTCATTGTGATATCTCTATAGTGAGACCCAGTCAAACGGAAAGCTGAAGCTATAACTATACTCTGTATTTATATATTTATGTACATTTATTATGTGCCTGTCAGGTATTTATGCCAAAACACATGAACTGTATGTATTACATGTGTTATATTCTTAATGCAATACTTCATAGAAATGTTTAAACTGCAGGTTTATACGTGGATCACCATAGTGTACTGTGATATATAACAGCGATCATAATGTTTATATTTATTTATTTATTGTCCTCTAATTAGCTTTCATTTATTTTGCACTTTCAAAATGCTCTTGAAGGAGCTTATACTGTAACACCAACAATTTCCCCGCGGCAACCAAAAAAGTGGATTAGTGAATATAGGTGGATATATAAAAACATATATAAATATATAAATATATATATATATCTTAATTAACTACACTAAATATTTTTATTTTGTTGAATGTATTCCACTGAAACATTAGTTTGAGTGTTACTGTTGTACAAATATTTGTAATATTTCTTAAATACTATTTATAAAATATATGTCATACATACATTCATATTATACGAGAGCATGTGATTAATATACAAAAACAGAGAAAACGACAACAACAGCAACAACAACAATTATATTGATAGTAATAATTTGAGACGTCAATTCATGTTGCAGATGCTAAAGGTTCAATCCGTGAGATTATTCTGCCAAAGGGGCTGGATTTGGACCGACCAAAAAGAACCCGCACCTCCTTTACCGCAGAGCAGCTCTACCGTTTAGAGATGGAGTTCCAGAGGTGCCAGTACGTGGTCGGGAGGGAACGTACCGAGCTGGCCCGCCAGCTCAACCTGTCTGAAACTCAGGTATGACTCCTCTGCTCCTCAGTCTTTTGCTCAAGCAGAAGGCTACGCTCTGCTGAAAAGGGGTAGAAAATCACACAACGTGAAAACGACATTTCGTGATTTCTTTTCTATTCACTTGAGACGCTTGCTTTCGTGCAGGAGACAAAGCAAATCCCAGCAACAGTTTGGTCGCTCACAGTCACATATTTGCATGCAATAAAATTTGGAATCCGTTTGAAAAAAAAATCAATTTTAATAGATTATGTAAATATCAATATATATTAAATATATATGTAATATATTTCATATATATTTTATAAATATATATTTAATGTCATATATAATGAATTTAATCAAATTGACTGGAGGTCACAGTTACTGCAGATTTACCCATACTGAGAATCTTGATTCATTTCATGCAGTATCTAAACGGCGTGTCTGACCTCATTGTTTTAAGCGGCCTTAATGCGAGCTGTCAACCACGGACTTCTTTTTCATTCCATACATGCGGGGTCAACAAAGGGTCAAGCAGTGTCCAATGTGGGTAAAAATGTGTCTGCACTCACAGTGTGACCTACTTACAGCGGGATTTGTGCTCGAGAACAAGCCGGAAAAAGTCAACAGTGACGAAGCTTTGCTCCAATTTCTTAGCATAAAACACTATTTTATTTATGAATATAAATAAGAAAAAAAACATTTAAAAAAAATTGCAGGTGAAAATATGTACAAACATATGTATATACATTTAAATATATGTATATACATATATTGTTTATATAGATTTATACGTACATATATAGATATATACATAGATGTACAGCTATGCATATACGTATCATTTTTGTATGAAATGATTTTTTTTGTTTGTCATAAAAAAAAATCATTTAATTGCCAGCTTTGTTTGATATATTTAAGATATGTATAGCTTTCTGATTATATTTTTTTAATTATTTTTTTTATCATTATTATTTTTATTTATGTCTTTTTTTATTTATTAAAACAGTTCCTGTCTTTTAGTCTAAAAGTATATCTTCAAAGTAAGGGTTCCAATGACAATATATATATATATATATATATATAATATACATTTCTATATATGTATTACCCACACGGCTGCAATTCTGAAATAATGATCTGAAAAGGGATTGCAGCACATTTTACAAAACAAAGACAACAAAGCGCACAATTTGTATTCTTTATTCAACTATTAATTAATGTTTTAATAAGGATTTGTCATTAATTCTGGTGTAAATTTTCTTTTTAGTACACTTTCTTTTTCTTTTAATTCTTTTTTTTTTTGCATGGGAAAATTCATTCTTCAACTTGCAATGGCTTGGAATAGTTGCAGCGACCAGCCTCTAGCTGGTTAAGGGCACTTTGCAGTTTTAGGACGTGAACAAAAGGGCTCAAAGCTTCATGCAGGTCTTAACGCATGAGCTATAAAATCAGATTTGAAAAATTTGAATTTGAAACATCATATTTACTAATGTTTTTTTTGTTTGTTTTTTTAAAATTGCAGAACAATTCAACTGTTCACCGACATCAAAATTCAATATTATGTTTTCATCTTTTCAACCGAGGTTCACAGACATCATGCTACCTTGGATTGAGCACCTAGTTAGCAGCTAGCAATCAGCAATAGATAGATTTTTAATAGTCAATAGTTTAATAGTTTTGATGAAGATTTTCAACGTGCAAAGTCAAGAGAATGAAGAGGACATTTTAGCCACAAAATATATATATATATTTCTTTGTCGGGATTGTATTGATTCATGCAGTTTATTATAACAGTTAAAATGGTAGAATAGTTTTTTGGACATTTACATTGGAAACAATTAAGTCATAAGACAAATTATTTTTGGCTCAATGAAAAAAATATATACCAGAGTTTTTAATTCTGATTTGCAGATTTTTTTTGTCTTGGATTTCTATAAAGGGTAAATATTTAGTCCCCTAATTGGAAATGCTCCTTATATGTTAATCATGTAAATCTAAATATACCAAGTTGAATGACAAAAACAACTTTTGAATTGATCATAATAAGATATATAGTCACAAAATATATCACCATACGTATATATATTTATATATGTTTGTGTATGCTGTATATATGTGTGTATGTATACATTTATGTACAAATGTTTATATATATATAAAAACATATATAGATATACATATGCAGTTGTGTTGACATTTTTTCACGGAATTTTTTCTTCTTTACAGTGAAGTTTATTTTGCTAAAATCTGAGTTACATCGTGTGATTTGCGAGTTTTGACAATATTTATACAAAATGTCTTTCATTCGTGACAAACTGTGTTCTCCTGCCGCCCTGTCCCTTCCAGGTAAAAGTCTGGTTTCAGAACCGACGCACCAAGCAGAAAAAGGACCAAGGCAAGGACTCGGAGCTCCGTTCGGTGGTTTCCGAAACAGCGGCGACCTGTAGCGTGTTAAGACTGCTGGAGCAGGGGCGGCTCCTGACGCCTCCTGGCCTCACTGGCCTGCTGCCACACTGCAGCAGCGGAACCCTGGCCTCCGCTTTGCGCCCTCCATCTATGGTGATGGCCAGTAATGGCAGTAGTAGCAGCAACGGCAGTGGCGGAGGCAGCGGCGGCGGCGGCGGTGGCGGCACGGCTAGCGAGCCTCCTTTACCGACGGTCACCAGTTCGGGGACGGTCGCAGGCCTGCAGGGCTCACCTGCAGCGCATGGTCTCTTCAGCTTCCCAATGCCCTCCTTACTTAATGGCGTTGCCACAAGAATTTCTTCAAACCCTCTCTCCATGGCCGGCTCGCTTGCTGGCAATTTGCAGGAACTTTCCGCGCGCTATTTGAGCTCCTCGGCGTTTGAACCTTATTCGCGGACCATTGGCAAGGAATCGGTGGACAAGAAAATCCTGGAATGATTCGTGGACTGCTTTTCTGTGTCTGTTCTCTGTGTGTCTCGGTCGTTTTTCATGGCTAACGCTGTGTCTGTTTGGCTTTGCACAGTCTATTTCAAACGTCTGTTATTTCGCAGTTTGTGTCACATTTTGTTCAAGGTGAAGCCTGTTTATCACAAATGTACGTGTGTGTGTTCCGTGCGAGATATTCATGTGGGGCACCTGGTTGTTGCGGACGGTAAAACCACCAAATTTTCCTTTATTATTATTCATTCAATGATCTGCAGTCCTGCCGGCTCTTAAAAATAAGGATATGATGAAGCTTATTTATAAGAGTCCCAATTTTTGGTCATTTTCTATGACAGGAAAACTCTCAGCGACACAAGTTATTCCTTAAAAAAATCAACGTTTTTAACACTGAGGCCTTTGGAACCATAACTTGAAGTTTCCCGCTCGCTTGTATGAGTTTACTGAAGAACCGCTGCAAACCTCAGCAAGTTAAAGGCCAATAGTGTAGGATAGGCGACAGGTTTTTTTTTGGTCTGTGTGTTTGGAAAGTCACTGTGGTCAGTATACAGAGAAACCATACAAGATGACAAACCTGGCCACATATAAAGTTGTTTAAGCCTTTTTTTTTTTAATGTTGTGTTTAAAGCAGTGGTTCCTAAAATCTCTCTACTGGGCCATTCCCGCACCCCCACTCCGACAACCCCAAAAAACACAAAACAAAAAATAAGGATACTTTTTTTTTTAGACTTCAACTGTTTTTCGCACCTTAAACGTATCCATTTTATGCTAGCATTGCCAACTTTGGATTTTGCCACTGCTGCTCTGAGCAGATCCAAGGGGGGCGACGGCAAAATCAAGAGGAAGATTTAAAAAAACTATATTTTAAACAGATATTTATTCGACGCCACCTTCAACCAATCCTTTTTTTTTTTGTTTTTTTTTAACAGTCATTTGTTATACATTTACAGCGTTGGATCATATGCTGCGTTACGTTTCATTCATGCATTCCACCTCCCGCCGACCCCCCCTACAATGTCACTCCACCCCCCTCAGGGAGTGCGTCCCCTACTTTGGGAACCTCTGGTTTAAAGTGTACTGCAAGACCAGTGCCAAAACACACTCGAGCACATTTGACGAATGCAAACCTCTTCTTTTGATTCCTCACCAAAAAAAAAAAAAAAAAAAAAAACAAAAAACCACAAGTTGACACATCTTTTTGTTTTAATGGATAAAGTAAAGAAAAGGAAAACTCAAATCCACAAGGGTGTTGTCAAACAGTTTGGTAGTTTAGTTGTTGAATGTTGTTTTTTCCTGTAGTCTAGTGAGAATTTAAAAAAAAAAAACAAACAAAAAGAAAAAACATTTTGCAGATAAAGTGCGGCAAGACTGTGATTGTGATATCTATCACCGCAAAATTCTGTGCAATTTCTGTTCCATTCAAAGAGCCAAAGCAAAAGAGAGTTGTAGAAAGGACACTGATAATGAGCTTTCCAGCGTTAGGGAGACGCTTTTGTCATGAGTACAGTACAAGGATTTAGGATTGTCATTTAATATATATATTAAAAAAAAAATGTTTGTGTATCAAAATTCACAAAAAAAAAAAAAAAAAAAAAAAAGGGAAGGGATTCAGGAAGGCTGACGCTCACCGGCACTGGCTGAAAATGTAACAGTGTAAAAAAAAAAAAAAAAAAGTATTGGAAACAAGGGAGTACCTTCAAATTGTTATTTTATTGTAAATTATTTCATTCTGTAATTAATAGATAATTAGTATATGGGGAATGAATGAGCGGATGAATGTAGGGTGGTGACACAAGTTCTCTGGTGCTGTCGTTGTGAAATATCTTGAAATTTTGTGAAACGTGAGGTGAAAAGTGTGCATATATAATATGAATATGGAAGCCGACGAGGTGTGTTCTTTTTTTTTCCTTCTCGTGTTTCACCCATATTAATTACTCTTATGTTAATTCTATTTGAATTCATGCAGTTGAACTCACCTGACGTGTGGGAATGTTTTCACACCATTTTTTTTTTTTGGTAATGTGATCTGGTAATGTCGTTGCATTACTGGTGGACCCAAAAAATGTTTTCGAACGGGCTGCAAGTTGGATTGTTAGTTTGTCTTACAATTTATTTTATTATTTATTATCATAAAATGTCTGAAAAAACACTCAAAGAAATTGCCTGTCCTTGATATATTTAAGACGGTGTCATCCATGACAGTGGAATGGCTGCATTTAATCTTTTTTTTTTTTTACTAATAAACCACTCACATTTCTGTAGTTGAGGCTGGAAGGTATTTTCTAGAAGAAGCAACAGGACTTAAACCTAGACGGAAAAAAAAAAAGATGGCCGCTCATCTGTTAGCTTCTACTGTTATATGGCGGGCGTACATGTTGGTGTGGTTCCACGCGTTACTGTTAATGTTGGCTGCCATTTTGACATCTAATGTTATCATGTTACATGTTAGCAACTTTCCTGCTAATAGCGCCCCTCTGGAATGCAGAGGGGAGACTTAGTGATCTGCTCCAGGGCTGAAGCTAACATTAGCTTCCGGGGCTAACTCCCTTCACTTTGTGCTTGTCGGCAGCAGAAATAAACAGAAACAGGGAAATTTGGGGTCATTATTATTAGCCACACCAACCACAACAGAACATAAACAGCTCCTGTATAACCAACTCACACTTGCAGCATGACAGGGCTCAAACTGCTCTCAACTTTCGCTAGCGTTCTCTCTTGCGCCTCCCACACAGATATACGCACGCAGCCAGACAGACAGACATACGCTACTGGTATAACACACAGTAGCCTAGCAGAAAAGTCATTGATCGCTAGCCCGTAAAAATCCATAAATTAGCCGCATCATTGTTTACGCCGCAGGGTTTAAAGCGTGCGAGTAGCGGCTCATAGATCGGGAAATTACGGTACTCAGTGTTAGATATAAAATTGGTCTTAAAAATGTATTCATAATCTGGTCTTTTTGTACGCATACTCCTATGGTAAAGAATTGTTTAGGGGTCGTAGGTTGGAGGAATGTTTAGAGCTGTCACCACTTATACCTAATCTTGTATTTATGTTCCAAACTGGCTTTAATATAAGATAAGAACCACAAAGGAAAATAGCATAAATGAATGAGAAGTTGCTGCAACATATATATATATAAATATATCCAGCCTCCGCAGCGCAGCTATCACCGAACCAACCAGTCACGGAGAAAAATCTGAATCTCTTTTGTAAAAAAAAAAAAAAAAAAAATGCAAGGAAACCAGTCCTCCCTGCTCTGTCTTGGGAAACTCCTCAAAGGTGTTGGCTGCCATTTTGACATCTAATGTTATCATGTTACATGTTAGCAACTTTCCTGCTAATAGCGCCCCTCTGGAATGCAGAGGGGAGACTTAGTGATCTGCTCCAGGGCTGAAGCTAACATTAGCTTCCGGGGCTAACTCCCTTCACTTTGTGCTTGTCCGCAGCAGAGGTAAACAGAAACAGGGAAGTTGGGGTCTTTATTATCAGCCACACCGACCACAACAGAACATAAACAGCTCCTGTATAACCAACTCACACTTGCAGCATGACAGGGCTCAAACTGCTCTCAACTTTCGCTAGCGTTCTCTCTTGCGCCTCCCACACAGATATACGCACGCAGCCAGACAGACAGACATACGCTACTGGTATAACACACAGTAGCCTAGCAGAAAAGTCATTGATCGCTAGCCCGTAAAAATCCATAAATTAGCCGCATCATTGTTTACGCCGCAGGGTTTAAAGCGTGCGAGTAGCGGCTCATAGATCGGGAAATTACGGTACTCAGTGTTAGATATAAAATCGGTCTTAAAAATGTATTCATAATCTGGTCTATTTTTACGCATACTCCTATGGTAAAGAATTGTTTAGGGGTCGTAGGTTGGAGGAATGTTTATAGCTGTCACCACTTCTCATAGCTAATCTTGTACTTATGTTCCAAACTGGCGTTAATATAAGATAAGAACCACAAAGGAAAATAGCATAAATGAATGAGAAGTTGCTGCAACATATATATATATAAATATATCCAGCCTCCGCAGCGCAGCTATCACCGAACCAACCAGTCACGGAGAAAAATCTGAGGCTCTTTTGTAAAAAAAAAAAAAAAAAAAA